CAGCAGGGAGGAGCCACAAGGCAGCTGCGATGCAGGCTCCAGGCAGCTGCAGCCAGAAGGGCCCTGGAAGTGGCGAGCACGCTTTTGCTCAGCACCTGACACTGGCTGCTGTTGCAGCAAAGCCTCCTCTCTCCATCTCCCCCTTCCTCCCCCTCTGCTAATCATCACACACCCACAGCATGGCCTTGCAGCTTACACCAGCTCCAGCCCATGCGCCAGAAGCAGCACCAGGCAGGCACAGGCATCAGCTGTGGATGCAGGCAACAGATTCCGCCTGGGGATCAGGGTGTCCTCTTGGATCCGCAGGTGATGCTGCTGCATCAGCTGTGGTCCCAGGCAATCGCCCTGATCCCTGGCAGGAATCTGCAGGCAGTATCCACAGCTGATGCCAGCATGCACCCCATCAGGCTGGATCTGGCCTAGGGGCTGTATTTTGTCCACCCCTGAGCCTCTTATCAGTAGGAATACATACCCTTCTATTGGAAAACTGCAAATATGGGTTACATTCCCTCCTCTTCTTCTCTTGCTGAAAAATCAAATAAACCTGGACAGATGCCATTCTGGCAGTTCCTTTTGTGAATTTACAGAATCTGGCATGAGAAATATACCTAAGAGCCTACCTGTCCATAGAGGGCAGGTCCTCTTCGTACAAAGTATGAAGAATTAGCTGATTTAAGTGGAGTTTTCGAGAGAGAAATTACTTAATAGCCCGCGTCTGATACAGGTGACAAATTATTCACATGCACAGTGCTGTACTTGTTTTTTCTTTTTTCTACATAACATTACAGATATCCAACATACTGTATTGTGTTCGACATGAAGAGGAGGGTAACGGCCAAACCAAAACATGCAGAGCACATGCTGAACATGGGCCATATCTGTTTCCTTCTCAATAAGTTTCCAAAACAAAAAATGCCCAATGTTTTTGAATTTTAACTCAAGTTCTAATGGTCCTAAGAATCTGACCTGAACTCTGAATAACCTCTGTGTCGAATTATCCAGACAGAAGCACTGACTTAGAGAAATAAACTGACTTTACAATCACAGTGCAACGTTAGAGAATATTCTGCTATCATTTTTAAGTCATCGATTTCCAGCGGGGATGCAGCCTAAATAGTTAGTATATGGACACACCTACATTTGGAAATGCTTCTAAAGGGGAATGTTTCAAATGGGTAGCAACTGTTACATTCTAATGTTACTTGTGGACAAGCTGGGAATGACACAGATATAGCAGAACTGCTCCAACTTTAACAATGTTTCATCCAGTATTAAAGCTGGAACAGTTTTTCTACATTTGTATTGTCCAATAAAAGATACCACCCACAAAAAACATTGCCTTTCACATAGTTCCTAGACCATCATAGCTAGAGCATCATTCAAACACTATCAGTATGCTTCAATTCTGTTTAGAACTGACACTTTGCTGCTTGGGTGTCAGAGTTGCCTGTGCCTTCAATCGTTGGTCTTAAAGACATAAACAAGTGTAACTATAGCCTTCTAAAGAAATGCTTAATAAATATTAACATATTATAGCTGCAAAACAAATTCAGTTATAATTCAAGCTTCATTTCTCCTTACCCATCCCAACACAGTCTTCAGCAGTGGTGGCACAGAGTATTTCTGTATCTGGAAGAGTTCTGAAGGTTCACACTCTGTAACAAATCTGTTTGTTTCACTGTTGTATTCCACTGGACATACAAAATACTCATGTTGAGCCAAAAGATAGGAAAACTGAAAAGCAAAGCAAAGCCCCCCTGAAATTTTCATTTTTTGGTGGTGCTAAATTTCAGAGCACTGCTTTAATTACACTGATAGCTGGTTGAGCATAGTGAAAAACAAGAACATTTTTGTGGTACCTTTTACTGAACCAGCTTCATAGCTGGGAAAGCTGGCAGACAAGTTTCTGGACACCAAAGACACTCAGGAAGAGTACATGATGCAGAGCCACTCTCCCAACTATGCAACTGGTCCAGTAAATGATAGTCCCAAAAAAGCCTTGCCCCTCGTATATTTCTTGGACCAGCATGTCAACAACAAGAGTGTGAAAAACAAAATTTTGACAGTGTGAAAAACAAAATTGTTGTTGCATAGTGATTCCACAATGGACAAGACACCTCTCCTTAGGCATGGATATCCTCGTTAAGAACTAACTAAAAAGGACATTCAGAATATTACTAAAAAAAATCTTAATTTATTCCTAGTTTTTTTTGTTATTTTTAGACCCCATTAGGCCACGCCAACAACTTGTTTTTCTATTACAATTAAGAATGCGTTGGGAGACATTAATAACGAACACTACTTTGTTTTTACACTTCACCTTTAAATCAAATATTGATATCTAGGAAGAAACAAATCAAAGCATTTACAATCTTTGAGCTTGTAATTTTCACAGACCTTTGTCATAAATTTCATACAAAGTACCATATTTTTAAATTTTTATTTCATGAAGTATGACATCAATTTAAGCTAGATGTCTATATCCATGTATATGTATCAGGAAAGATGTCATTTTAAAATCAAATACATATTAATCGATGTTGTAATGAGCAAGTAATGTCATTAATGCTACTAATTGCATCAGTTACAAAATAAGTGGTGTATCTATTGTCAGCTGAACCAAAACAATGATACATACAGCTCTAATAAGAACAGGAAATAACAAGCAATATGATAGGTATAGATTATTAAAACCATTTACTGTAATCAGAAAAAGCTATATGTTTTTCAACTATCAGTAGAATACCCTAACCAACAAGAAATTACCATTTTTCATACGTCAGAAAAGCAGACCAACAAACGTGCTGGGAATTTTGTTCCAGTTAAAACTTCAAGAAGGAAACTATATGAAAAATTCCATCACTACTTACTATAAATCCAAACACAACAGTAGAGAAGAAACCTCCAACGAACCCTTCCCAGGTCTTTTTAGGAGACAACTAATCACAAGAGACAAAAGTTAGATCATAATATATATTATGACACTTCTTTAGCACATTTGCCATAATGATATTCCTAGGTTTTCAAGGTTATATATACACTACTGACTACATATATTTGCATATAAATAATACCCAAGGCTTGAACATACATATGGAGAGTCAAGCACAAATATGCAAATACCGGATTAATCTACACACATCAGATAATTGTACAAGTGATTACTCCTAAATTTATAACTGCCTATCATTTCCCATTACAAAGCAGGCTTTTATCTGTTTAGAATTGAGCCATTTTAATCCACAAAATTCCACAATTATGCAACGGTGCAGAAATCCGCCATGCCAGATATCTGTTTCAGACAGACTTTTTTAAATCTAAAAAGTGTTTGGCCATTTCTAAGATTGAAATAAAAATATGTTTAATGAAAGTTAAAAGATTTCTTGACTTATGAGGAGAGGCTGATGGAACTGGACTTATTTAGTCTGGAGAACAGTAGAATGAGAGGGGATTTAATAGCAGCCTTCAACTACCTGAAGGGTGGTTCCAAAGAGGATGGGACTAGACTGTTCTCAGTGGTGGCAGATGACAGAACAAGGAGCAATTGTCTCAAGTTGCATCAAGGTAAGTTTAGGTTGGATATTAGGAAAAACTTTCTCACTAGGAGGGTGGTAAAGCATTGGAATGGGTTATCCAGAGAGGTTGTGGATTCTCCAGCCTTGGAGGTTTTTAAGCCCCAGCTAGATAAAGCCTTGGCTGGACTGATCTAGTTGGGAATGGTCCTGCTTTGAGCAGGGGGGTTGGACAAGATGACCTCCTGGGGTCCCTTCCAACCCTAATTTTCTATAATTCTATGATTCCAACTGAGAAGGTCTAGCACTTGCACTTGCAGGGACTTAAGATCTGGCAGGGGAAGCATTTTTGCATAAATATGCCCCAGATTGGCAAAATTCTGAGTCTGCATGTGCTTGGCCAAATCATAAGGGTTTGGCAGCTAAATTCTCTAAAAGTTCTGCTGGCACTGTGCATGCTTCATCCCCCCAGAAAAAATGACTACACTCCAAACCCCATCTTTCAGGGAGGAACCTCACACAAACAAAGTTTGCCAGGGCAGGTCACTTGTTCACTTCCTATCCTTCCCACCCTCAGACAATTATTGCTGCCGTAGTTAGGATTGTTACCCTAAAAAAACAAGGCCAGCAACTTAACTGATTTAATCACACACACACACACACACACACACACACTTCTGAGTAAACTGAAATATGCAGATTATTATGTTCAATACCTTCATACAAGGATAAGTTCCTCCAAACGCAACTCAATATAGAATGCTGCCAAGCATGATGTGGAAAACCTTAATATCTGCCCAGTAAAACAATACTAAAGAATAAAAAGCTAGCTAAAGTAACAGCTATTGCAAAACTAGTACATCAGAGAAATGAGGAAAAATGATCAAAAGAAAAAAAAATGTTGTAATGTTCTTGACATTTTAAATTTCTGTTTATTTTCCAAGCTTATCAGTTATTGAGGAAATGAACTAAGGAAAACATATTGTTCATACGTAGATACTTCAACAGCAACTAATCTAAAAAGTGGCCTATAACTAAAAAGAATACCATTTACCTGAATCCAAGATGACCCTGAATTTAAGACAACTCCCCAGTTAGATTCTACACATGGAAAATATACATATTTATTATAATTTTCTATTCATAGAATCTAATTATTGGAGAATCATCTTAAATTCATGGGGGTGTGCGGGCCGCCTCCCAATCCCATCCATGCGGCCATGTGTGGGCTAGGAGCGGTATGCAAACCCGTCTTTGTGCACGCAGGCTGTGGCCAGCAGCCCGGGCACGCGGGGTCGAAGAAGACCGGTGGCGAGCTAGAATTAGTTACGGACGCGTAATGGTTGATTAAAAGATTGTTTACTTACACCAAAGATGGTCGTGGTGTAGGCTGGACAGTTTTCCAGGCTCAGCTCCGCTTAAATCCTCGCTAGAGGACTCCGACAAGTGACCCCGGAGTTGTTGAAGCTCCACGGGTTCGACTCGGTAATTGGCCCCGGAGTGGTTGAAGCTCCGCGGGTTCGGTAGTTTCAAAGGAAAGGGATACGTCTTAGGATTGCGCTCAGCGACGGGGAGAGGCTAGAGGCCGTTTGGCCCCCGGAGTGGTTGAAGCTCCGTGGGTTTGGTAAATAGGCCCTCTATTGCCCTCTTAAGGAGAAAAGAAAAGCTGGGTTCGAAGGGATTAGCAGCGCTTAGAAATCTTCACTCTGCTTCTCCCAAACTCCAATTGCTTTCTCTCTCTCTC